CCCCAGCCCCACCTCTGTCCATGCCTTTGTTCCCTGGTCCCCCAGCCCCATCTCTGTCCATGTCTCTGCTCCCTGGGGCCCCAGCCCCACCTCTGTCCCTGTGTCTGCTCCCTGGGGCCCCAGCCCCAGCACAGTGCCCAGACCCCCACTCCCTCTGTGGCTCCCTGTCCCCATTCTGTTGCTGCCACGGGGTCTTGCCCCCCCCAGGGTCAGGCCTGTCCTTGAAAGTTGGGGCCCCAGAAGTGGAGCGAGCTGTTCTAGGCAGGTGTGGTAGGGCTGGGAGGGGGTGTGCCTTTTGGAAGGCATCAGCGTGTCCTATGGATTGGGAGTCTCTATGCTGGGAACCTCCTAGCCCCAGGGAAAGTCCGATGTCAAGCCACACAGTAAACTCCACAGACATGGAGAGGAGCCAGGACCTTCCCCCAGAGCTGGGAGAGGCACAGGGCTTCAGGGGAGAAGCTTGGGGCTCCGGCCCTTGGGGGGGGGGCGTCAGGGCCTACCTGAACCTCTTGATGTTCTTCTCGGACACTCGGATGAAGAGCACGATGGGGTAGATCCTGGACCGGATGAGGTCACGCGTGCAGCCGATCCCAGCCTCCAGCAAGCAGTGCTTGTCCTGGGAGCACAGCCCAGTCAGGTTCCCCCACCCCCACCCCCATGACCCCGACTCCCCAGTCCCTCTTGCTTTGGAAGCTCCGCTAAAAAATGTGAAACTCAGCAACACACGGCTGAGTGTGGACGGACAGTGGGGGCTGCGAGAGGGGCGCTGGCCCGAGTGCTAGGGTTTAAATTGTGCCTGCCACCCCCCCCACCCCCCAATAAGATATGGGCTCACTTGGCTGGGCCACAATTCTCAGCAAACCCACTGCCCTGGAGTCTGTTCTGACCAGACTACTGTCACTGTGATCGACGACTGTGCTGGTGTGCCACTCCTCGCTCTGTGAACAAACTGGATTAGGGGCAGCGGGGTTCCTGACAGGGTTAGGCAGACTCCAGAGCGACCCACTTGAGATATACCCCCCACCCTAAACTCACTGACATGAAGAGTTCATTCTGACTCATGGCGACCCCACAGGACAGGGTGGAACTACCCCTGTGGGGCTCTGACACGGTAACTCTTCAGGGGAGCTGAAAGCCTCATCTTTCTCCTGTGGAGCGGCTGTTGGTTTTGAACTGCTGACCTTGTGGTTGACAGCCCAACGTGTAACCACCGTAGAAGGGATTAACAAGGAGCACTGAGAAAGCAGAGCTGGAATTGAGTGTGTCTTTGGACCTGGGGTCCCTGCGCTGGGGACCTCCTAGACCCAGGGAAAGATGGCTGGCCAGACCCCTGGAGCTCTCTGCGATACCCCCCCCACCCCAAGTGCAGGGCTGACAGAGAGAGGTTTCCCCTAGAACCGGTGTCAGATTCAGGCTCCTCGTGTCCCTAAGTGTGAGGGGTCCCAGTGACGGGAGTGCTGGACAACTGAGAGCCTGGGCTTCCTCTACTGGACACAGGAATTCTGGCCACCACCCTTGGTACACTTCCCATGGGTACTGGCCCCCTCTGATGTCCCAAGTGCCCCCTCTCTGTCTCTGGGCCCCAGGGTCACAATCGGACACAATCGGCCCTGAACAGTAGGAACCGAGACACTGCCCGAGGTCGGGTCTCAGGGAGCCCGGGCTGGGACCAAGGTGAGGGGGTCGTCCCAGGACAGAGTGGGAGGAGTCCTCTTCCCCCTTTCCCAACAGCAGAGAAGCAGGCAGGGATGCGGCTCCCCAGTGTGCCTGCCGGCCCCTCACCTTGTCAGCCACGGCCTCGATGTTGCTGGGGACCACGCACTCGAAGGTGTTGGGGTTCTTCTCTCGTGAGTAGATGATGGTCCCTGTCCTCTGCTTCCGGAGGAACTCGTCTCTGGTGACCACATCTGCGGGGGAGGGCTGTCCTGATGCCACAGCGGCTACTCGCCGGGCGCTCCCCGCGGGGTGGAGAGAGCCTCTTCTGGCTCCGCCAGCAGCTGTCCCGACCACATGGGGACAGGGTGGCCGCTCTCTCTGCCTTTCAACACCCCTCCCCTCCCCCGTTTCCACCCACAGGGGTGAAGGGACTCGGTGTGGCAGTGGTGGGGGGTGGCAGCTATAGTGACGGAGGGCGGAAGGGGACATGGGAGTGTGGTGGAGGGTCAAGAACCAGTAGGGGCTGCAAATGGACGTGGCAGTGGTGGAGGTGCAATGAGGATGGGGGTGGGCATGGCAGTGGAGGTGGGCGTGGTGCTGGAGGAGGTGGTATCAGTGGAGGGGGTGGGACCATTGAAAGTGGTGGGCGTGGTGGTGAGGGGCTGATATCAGTGGCAGTGGGCGTGGTGGAGGTGGGACCCATGACGGAGGTGGGAGTGGCGGTGGAGGCTGCGGGACCCGAGAGAGGAGGGTGGGCTGGGGGGCCACCCGGGGCGCACCTGGCTTGCACATGGTGAACTCAAGGGCACCGCCCGAGTTGAGCAGCTTCTGCACAAGCGTCTTGGCCAACATGGAGGGCGAGAAGAGCACGGGCCGGCGGCGCGCGCACGGGAAGGCGCGCACCAGGCTGTAGGGGACCAGGCTGAGGTTTCGGCTCAGGTCGCCCTGGGGCTCGGGCTCTGTGGGCGGGCGGGTGGGCGGCGGCGGTCAGGCCACATCCCACAGTGGTACCTGGGGCCAGGAGCCCGAGGAAACGCGTGTGGGGCTGGCTGTAGGCCCAGCGACGGCTGTGCAGCTCAAATCCAGCCAGGTCATTCTAGAAGGGGGGAGGTTGGGTTCCCCGGAGGGGTGCGGGGGCTCATTCCAGGGTAAGGGACCGGAGGCTCCCGAGGCCAGATCTCATTCCTGCTCCGGCCGCATGGGCATGCCATGGGAGGGTTTGTTTGAGATGAGGGAAGCCTTGGCAGTGGGCAAGGGTGGGCAGGGATGCTGTCCACGATGAGCCACAGGCCAGGGGTGAGACCACCAGAGGCCTGCATAGCTTAGTAAGCGGTGATGGGGACCAAGCAGGGAGAGGGATTGATAAACTAGCAACATGTCCAGGCAAACAGCCCAATGAACTTGGGCATCGGGTGCATGGACAGCAGGGGCTGCCTCAGCAGGTGAGCAGACAGACTGGTCCTCCCCTCCCACCCTGGTTCACTGCTCCTGCAGCAGCTGCACCCTTAGGGGAGGCAGGCACCAGCTCAGGAGGCAAAGACTGGGTAAGTGGGGTGTGTGTGTGTCTGTGTGCAGGGCTGGGGAGAGAGGCCTCTGTGTCCAGCAGTCCGAAGCAGGGGTGGGGGACCCCATACCTTCCTGCTTCTCACTCAGGAGCTTAGTGATGTCCAGTGAGGCCCGGCCCAGGCCCCCAGGCTGGCCCCCCGAGATGATGCGAACACGTTCATTGCTGTTCATGCGCTTGTACTTGTTCTCCGACCGGCTGACAAACTGTGGGGTGGGGTGGAGGGGGGGCACAAGGGAGTCCTGGGTCAGATTTGTGGGCTGTGAGGCCGTGGTCAAGTCCTCTGCTGACCTTGCAAGCCCAGCACGAGGCTTGCTACGTGGCCAGGCTCCGGACATTGTGCAAGATGTCATTCACGGCTTCTTGGGCTGCCGTCCGGTAGGAGAGGTCCTTTTGTAACTGCTGAGGGAGGCGTCCTTCCTGGCCCCGGGGGGCGGAAATGCCCACCCCTCCCCCCAGGTAAGACGGACAGTGTGGGTGCCCCTTTCTCCTTGGCTGCCAGGAGGCTTGGCCATCAGCTGGGCACTCAACCTGAGGAACTTGCCTACATTGCCTCCCTCTCAAATGCCCACTCCCCTCCCACTGACCAGTCACATGTTCACAGCCCACTCTCCTCCCGCTGTCCTGTCACACGTTCACAGCCCACTCTCCTCCCGCTGTCCTGTCACACGGTCACAGCCCATGTGTGAGTCACCCTCCAGCTTCAGGTTCCCTGTAGCTTTTGTGAAAGCAGGTTGCTTCAGACAAGTGCAGGATGAGCTGTGTGTGCACAGGGCATGTGCGTGCAGATGGTGCAAGGTGTGCACGCGCAGAATATGTGCATGTGCAGAGTCTGCAGGGCCTGTGTGTGCAGGGTGTGTGTGTTCAGGTTGTGCAGGGTGCGTGTGTGCAGAACCTGTATGCAGGGTGTGTGTGTTCAGGTTGTGCATGTGTGTTTGTGTGTGTGTGCAGGGCCTGTGTTTGTGTGTGTGTGCATATGTGCAGGGCCTGTGTGCAGGGTGTGTGCGCAGGATGCCGGTGCATGTTCAGGGACTGCAGGGGGTATGTGTGCAGGGTGGGGTGTGTGTATGCCACGCCTCCTGTAGGGGCAAAGCCGGGAGGGGCAGAGTCTAGAGTAAAGCTTTGAGGGTCGCCCACCCAGCATGCCATGGTGACAGCGGTGTCCCCTGGGAGGGCCACAAGGCGGCTGTGCATGGTGGGACTGCCCGGGGGTGGGGGGTGGGGGGCAGTTGGGGGCACTGGCAGAGCCTTACCTGGAGGAGCTGGCCAAAGAGGAAGCTTGCTCGTGAGAGCCGGGGGCTGACACGGGGGTCGGTGGCTGTGAGGGGTTCCTCTGGCTGCAGGGTGTTCTGGAAGCAGAAAGGGTGTCCACCAGGGTGGCCGAAGGCACAATAACTGTCATGTCCTGAGAAGTGGACACCGCCCCCCGCCCCCTACCCACATCCCCTGGAGCTCAAGGGGCAGATGCTTCCGTGTGGGAATCAGCGCATCTTCTTGGGAAGGTGACTGGCTCCCGTCAGCCAGGGTGCCGCTGCCATTCCAGCCTGGCCCAGAGATGTGGTTACACAGCCGCCCTTCTCCTCCCCCGCCAGCTGGGGGCTGACCCCCCAGGGAAGGGCTCTTGGAGGAGAATCCCCTGGTTTCCCAGCTGTGTCCGAGCACTCCTGCCTGGCTGGGGTTTCAGGGATGGGCTTTCAGAAGCAGGTGGCAAGCAGGCCTTTTCTCTGAGCCACCTCTGGTGGGTCTGATCCTTGACCTTCCTAAGGTTCCAACCCAGGCTGCTGCCCCGTCGATTCTGGGGCAGCCTGCTTTACAGGAGCAGACTGCCAGGCCTTTTCCCCTTGGAGCGGCTGGTGGGTTTGAACCAGCGACCGCTGGGTTAGCAGTTGGCTGCGTCAACCACTAGGCTCCAGGGCACTATTAAGCGTGTCCCCGTCCACCCGCCCCCACCCCACCTCGGCCAGCCTCTCCCCAAGCAGAGGGAGCCTGGCTGGAGGGGGGGACCTACCCTCAGGGCCCTCAGGGTGTGGTGGGCCCCGTCAGCCTCCTCCCTGCTCCCTCCATGCATCAGACGCTGCAGCTTCACCAGGAGGAGCTGCTGGGCCCTGTGGGGTCAGAGGGGGCAGGGCCTCAGGGGCAGGGCCCGTGGCCTGTGGGTGTGGGTGTGCTGACCCCAGCTCGCCTTCCCCCGAGCTCTGACTCGCGTGACTGTGGCAAAGCCACTGAGTGTCTCTGAGCCTCAGTTTCCCAGTCTGTCAGCCCTGAGTGGGGGCTGGGGCCGGTCACATGGCATGGCTGGCTGTGACGTGGGGGTCCCAGACCAGAGAGCTGGTAGGTGTGGGTCACCGCTGTGGGCGATCTGGAGGGACAGATTGGTGGGCTGCAGGGGTGGGGGCGGGGCCTCCTGGTGGGGGCACGGTCAAGTCCACTGCTGATTTTGGGGGAGCTACCAGTCCAGCGGGAGACTCACTACCCTGCCTGGGCTCCGGCATCACACAGGATGCTGGGGGTTGGCGGCAGGGCTGCATGTGTCAGGGTGCGGGGAGAGGAGGGGGTGGGGATCCTACTGTGTAAGGCAATTAGTGGGTGCTGGGGGCTGGATGGGGCCCCCCAAGAGGCATGTTGAGTTCTAACCCGTGAACATGATCTTGCAGGAACCTAATCTTCGGAATGTCACCAGTTAGGACACATGGGTCACTTTGGGGCAGGGGGCCATCATAACATAGGAGGAGAGACTGGGAGACGGGGTGGGTGGGAGGACTGCTGTGTAGTGCTGCACCTGCAGCCAGAGAGCGCCAGGTGTCTCTGAAGCCCCCAGAGAGGAAGGGAGGTGCGCCCCTTCCCCAGTCTCAAAGGGACTCCCAAGACTGGCAGCCTGGTCTTGGTTGGTTAAGCCCCGCTCGGAAGTACCTGGTGCCCACCTGGTCCCCAGGGGGACTCTGCCATGGTCACCATGGGTGCTGCCGACCTGCCTGCCTGGGTCCAGGCACGTGTGAGCCTCCTGCTGCTGCCCACAGCCACATACGCTGTTCCCACAGGCCTGGCCTCAGCCCACCCCACACCCAAGATCTAATCTCACTGCACACTTGCACCCCATTCGCTGCCCCCAGGGCTGCCCTCACTCCTCCTGGTCCCTGCTCCCAGTCCCACTGGCCTGGCTTCACCCCACCCCACCTCCAAGCTCTGACCTCAGCCCTCCCAGCCCTCCCAGGCCCCCCACTGGCCTTCCGGGCACAGCCTCGCTCCCGAAATCTCAGGCCCAGCCTTGTCCCCACTCCCAGCCCCCTAGCTCTGGCCTCGCCACCTGCCCCCCACCAGCCTCACCGGCTGTAGCTGGGTATGGTGCCCTTGTCCATGTCGTGGTCAGTGAAGGGGTCCACCCTTGCACACAGCCACTCGTGCCGGTCCTGGTACATGGTGTCACGCACGTGCACAATGTCGTCACATCTGAGGGACAGGGAGCAGGAGTCCAGCTGGCTGGAGATGTTCAGGTTCAGCCGGATGTAGAAGGAGTCCCCCGAAGTGATGAGGCCCTCCTCCATGTCCTTCAGCAGCTTCCTGTACCCTGGGGAACGCGAGGGGCTCCAGCGTCCGCCTAAGGACGGCTCTTCCCCCACGAGGCCCCTCCTGGGGCAAAGCAGCCCGGCCTGCCCTCGGCTGTTGTCCTCCCCTGGTGGTGGGCTGCCAGCGGGTCTGCCTGGCTTTCCCTTTTCATCGGCCCTCCAGGAAGCTTGTGGCTACACTGGAATGGGTGCCTGGCACTCCCTCCGTGTGACCTACACCTACTCTGCCCTCGGGAGTGCAGACAGCAGCACTCTGAGTCCCCGCGTGTTGCAGGGCAGCAGTGAGTTTTACAAGATGAAGGCGCATGGTCACCCTGTATCGTAAGACCCCTGTGTTCCATTTTCCCAACAGTGCCCCTGGCCAGGGGCAGGAGAGGGACACTGCTGCCTGTGCTGGGTGAGGCTCGGGCCCCTCACTCATTTTCTGCACAGACAGGGGTGGTGTTGGGTGTGAGGCCAGCAGGGTGGGCAGGTGCAGAAGTGGGTGCTTGTGTTCTGTGGGAAGACTGTGAGCCTGCTAGTTTTGAGTAAAGGCCAGCTATGGAGAGGGGCTCACAGGCTGGCCCACAGGTGAGGTCGGGATGCAGCCTCTTGGTGGACAGGGGCTCAGTCCTGTGGCCAGGTGCTGGTACGGGGAGGAGGGGAGCTGGGGCACCACAAGGCCTTCTGAGGGTCTCAAGGACTGTTTGGGGGAGCACAACCCACTGAGATGTTTCCCAGAGGGTTGCCTGCTGTCAGGGGTTGGGGGTTGGGGGTGTGGGGCTGGGGGCCTACAGCAGCTGGGCAGGTGAGCATCCACTACTTCTACCCGGGCCCACAGGTATGCTGTCAGCTGGGAACACAGGGTGCCACGCATGTGGATTTGTGGGTGCAGCCAATGGAAAGGGGGACCACCCCCCGCTCTGCGTGTCAGAGACCCAGTGTGTTTACAGCTGTGGTCTTTCTGGTGACCAGGCCTTTCTTCTGAGGGCCTCTGGATGGGCTGGAACTGCCCCCCTTTCAGTGAGTGGCCAGTGCAGGGCCATCTGTTCCCCCCACAGCCACCTCACCCTGCTGCCCCTCGGGTTCCTCCCTCCCGGGCAGGGTTGACCTCCCCAATCAGATGGCCCCCAGGTGTGGTGGGGGGGTCGGGGCTGATCCTGCACCACTCTTACCTTCGTGGTTGACCTTGTAGTGCAGGGTGACAGGGCCGCTGCAGCGCTGGAGGGTCCAGCGGGCCTCCTCCTTGGTGCAGGAGTCCAGGGGCACGCTCTGACGCTCCCCGCGGATGCAGCCCTCCAACTGGGGGCCGGGGCATGGTCAGCATGGTCTGGGGCCGGCACCACGGGGGCACAGGCAGCGCTTCCTCTGAAGTGGCTTATTGCTGGTGCATGCCTCCCCACGCGTCCTCCCTGCCCCTCCTGAGAGCACACGTGTTGATGTGTGCATATGAACATGTGTGTGCGTGAGTGTGTGCAGTGGTGTGTGTGTGCCTAACTTCTTTGGAGAACACATGTGCTGGTGTGTGTGCATGTGAACATGTGGAGTTTGTGCACGTGGAAATGTCTGCTGTGTGTGCATGCACTTCCTGGGAGCATGTGTGTGCTAGTGTGCGTGTTCTGGGGTTCATGTGTGTACTGGCACAGGTGGGGCTGAGGGACAGGCCCAGAGGACTGTCCCCTGAGGAGCTGCCCTTCACTGCCCTCCTGACTGAGCTGAGCAGCAGGGGCCAGCGGGGTGGCCGAGGGAAGCGTGAGGCTGAGCTCCCACCCCGGGCCACCCTCTCTTGGAGGAGTCCCCTGTTCCTCAGCAACCACTTCCGGGTCCTCTGTTTCTCCCCACCCCCTGTCCTGGGAGTCCCCCCCTCCGTCCCGGGGGTGTCCCCCCTCACCAGCAGCAGCTGGTGACCCTCACGCAGGCCAGCCTTCTCGGCCAGGGAGCCCATCTTGACAGAGTGGACAAAGCTGCCCCTGGCGTTGCCACCCAGCAGGGTGAGCTGGGCAGTGAGGCTGTCCCCTTGCAGTGTGGCCTGATGCAGCGCTGGCCCCGGTCCCCGCACGTGGCCCCCCGATGTGACCGACGGGCGGAAGGGCCTGGGGGTGGGAGAGACGGGCACGGGGTGTTATTCAGGCTGGGAATAGATGACCCTTCCCCGGGAAAAGCCCCATTGGGAGTGTGGGGACAGCCAGGGGTCACTGCACCTGTCAGATGCTGTCCCTGTGGGCAGGGGCCACCTGTCAGATGTTTGGGTGTTGCAGAGAGGTGGGGGCCCCCAAAGGTCAGGAGAGAACAGAGCCACCCTCAGCCTGAAGCAGGCCTGTGGGAACCCTCAGCCCTGCTCTGGCCCTCGGAGGACC